TGGAGAACAGCCTGTCAAGTGCTTTGTTTCTAGACGAATAGGAGAGTCAGATTGAACTGATAGGAAAGTACTGATAAGCAAAATTTTAGCTTAGAACAACCCTATGGTTTAATTCTTGGTTCCCAAAACTCTTATCCAGGAGCCTGCTTTTTGTTTACACTGGTTATAACACCAAAGGTATCTCCACCAGGAAACAAGAGATGAGTCTTTGTTCCTGAACATGAAAAACAGATCAGGAAGGTGGTGATGATTATAACACTGGAAATATCCCAGTCGCACAATGTTACAAACCTTTCCCTGCACATTCCAGGTGCAGAAGCTTCTTATTCATCATGCACCTTGTTAACTTTTATTGGTGTTATTTCCCCCCAGGAAATAAACATGTATTTTCATGTGGCAGCTGAAGGGGGGGGTCATCAGAATTTTCATGTAATATTAGTTCCCAGGTCCTGTGTCAACAGCAGGTGGAAGTCAGCTTGAACATGGGCGCTGTCCCTCCAGTCCCAGGGCTCCTGGGTGGGCTCCTCTGTCCATTCCTCACTGGCCCAGGCTGACATCCCCACATCACGGTGCTCTTCCCTTGGGTTAGTGCACCCACTGTGGCCGGCAGGCTCTTCCTGCATCAGGGGTCAGCAGGTTGAGTTCATAGGCAGGAGTCACAGAAATTGCTGACACACAATGATTCAGGGGGCATTTCCTCATTCTTGATTTGCCTTCAGCTATTCCACTTCCTCGTTAGTTCTTGTCATCTATCGTCTCGGTCTAAGGGAGTGCTAGGTTCACAGTATTAGTTTCCATTCTTTCTTTCAGAAAACAGATAAATAGCAGACATGAGCAAGTTTGGAATAGACTTCTGGGTGTGCTTGAGCCCTTATTGCTAAACAGTGAAAAATTTCAGTGCATGGTCCTCAGAGGCCTACAGGTTTTTCCATGTTTTAATCTTTGGTCCATTCAGAATTTGTCTCCTTTTAATTTAATTGTTAATTGGTTTGCGTGCTGCGTGTAATTGACAGGCACAGGGTCATGCCTTTAAGGTATGTGTCACCACACCCCACACCAAGGCACTGTGGCCCCCACTTAATATTGCATCTTCTTGTTCTATTTGTTATCTGTGTGACTCTGAGCACGTTGTTCTGTCTCTCAGCCTCAACATTGACATGCGAGTTGATGTGCAGCCGGGACAATGGCACAAGAATGTAGCTTGGTGGGAACTGAGCCCGTGGCTACATGCGTGGTGGGTGCGTGGAGTAATGGGAAATCTCAGGTGTTGATACCATAATTATCACCTAGGTTATAATGTGATTCGCAACTTCGTTCCCTCTGGAGACTAAGAAAGCATTTATTTTTGCTCTCGTATGAACTGTTTTTATTGATTTACCATTGGTTTACAAAACAGTATCTCCCAGCACCATTCACACCTCCAGTCACCCCCTTCCTCTCTGTTAACCTCATTTTTAAAAAAAGATTTATTTATTTAATTACACAAAAACCGGGGTACAGGCCAGAGGCACGGGAGGGTGAAAGGATTCACCAGAGACAGAGTGGGGAATAGAACAGGCAGACTGATGAAATACACTGCTGAGCGGAGCAGCGGGCGCGACAGAAGAGGCCTCTGTGCCATGTGGGACCCTCGCCAGCTAGCGGGGATCGAATCAGCCTGCAGAGGCTGCGGACAGCTGCACAGCGCGGTGCTCAAACACCTGCGCCACCAGGGGAGGCCCCTAACCACATTTTTGTAGTCAGGGTCTAACAGCGCTTTCTGTTGAGCTGTGTGCTTGGTGTGCTTTCGTTCTTTAAATTCGTGATGTGAGTAAAACTGTGTAATATTTGCCTTTCTCTTTTTGATTTAATTCACTTGGGGTTGTTATCTCAAAGTCCCACCTATGCTATGGCAAAAGGCAAGGTTTCATTTTTTAAAATAACTGTGTAGTTTCCATTGTCTTATTTATTTCTGGTTCCAAGAGCATATATTATGTTTGGCACAGAATAGGTTAGAAAAAAATCCTTTAAAGAAATAGATTGTTCCTTGATTCACAGAAAGAGAGTGTTATCGGTGTGCCTTATCAACACTCAGTCGTCCTACCTGTAATTTCATGCCTTTCAGGGGATATTCTGGAGGACTAGACAAAAATAAATCAGTTCTTTGTGTATCTAATGTCACAGATCTTCTAAAGGACCCATCATGTTCCATTGAACAGAGTCTACAATATTTAATTTTAAAGAATTGTGGCAACAAAGTGTGTGTGTGTGAGAGGGAGAGAGTGGGGGGGGAGGAGAGAGAGAGAGAGAGACGAAAGGGTAAAATAAGCACACAATAAGATGTTTAACATCACAGATCATTAATGAAATACAAATTAAAGCCACAATGAAATACAACTAAATGCCCTTTAGGAAAACAAAATGAAGCAAAACTTAGATTGTGATTGGATTTGAGGTTTCAAATGACAGTTGCCTCAGCAGCAAAAACAAATAATAACAACTTAAAATGACCTTGGTTAAGAAGACCAGGGTAGGGAATATGACAAAAATAATCAATAAGAAAACCTGGGCATTTCTGTGACATACAACATTTTGAGGTAATAAACCGAGATTATTAATGACAACATACATAGTAAAGACAATATGAAATTACTATGGACTTTACACAATCTCTGAAATATAGCAATAGCATATATTTATAAAAATGTATTTAATATGAAACATTACCTTCTATTTGCAAGTATTTTACCTGTAATATAACACATTCAGAAGTGTAATTTTTTGCAAGGTGAGAGAACAGATTCTTTGAGATTTTTCAGAAGTTCTCTGGTAAATCCTAAGTCAATTTGAGATCAAAAAGTTTCTGTTGACAAATTTATCATGGGACACTGTTAAAAATATCCAAAGTTTAAAACTTTTGACCAAATAAATGGGCAGGTCACTATGAAGAATACCCCTCCATTTACCAATGTTACAATATATTTTAAAGACAGGTACAGGAAGTAATAAACTTGAGAAAATAAAATATTATAGTTCTTTTAATAATGAGAAGACTTGGTTTTGTTAAGTAATCATAGACATGATAAAGAAAACATGACATCCAAAAATTATTTTGATAAGGCACAGAATCAGACACAGGTGAACCACATAACATTTAGAAAAAAATAGTTTACAGTGATACAAGAATCTCCTTTAAATATAGGAAGAAAATGAATTTCTAGTTTGATAGGGACACTATTGATATAAAAATCTCAAATGTTGAACCTTATAATTAATGAGTAAATCATTTAATTTTAGCCAGCTTGACTACACTAAAAAGATTCTCTTTTCCTCATGATAATATTATCCAAAAATTGGTAGAGAAGGTCATATTTTAAAAATTTTGATACAGGAAAACTGGATTAGATGAAAATCTCTCTTTCTCTCTCTCTCTCTCTCTCTGTCTGTCTCTCTATATATATCTATCTCTCTCTCTCTCTCAAATATCTTTTTGTTCTCAATTTCCTTTTAGCTCAATATTTATGCCAACGTGGCCTGTTTTGGGTGATATATTCTGGGACCATTCAGTAGGTTCAATTAATCTACTCATTTAGATATTAGAAAAATACCCAGGTGTTTATTCTTCCTTGCTTCTCATTTTTCCTTTTTAATTTTTCCAAAGCTCAATAATGTTTTTACCCATCAGACAGTGAAGGCCTGTTGAAATTAGGGAGCTAAGTAGAAAAGAATTCAATCCCCCTATGAGAAAATACTGACTTGAAAATTCTTTTTTTTAATTTTAATTAATTCACTTTTTCTATTAATTCCCTTAAGACTTCCATTTGGTTACTTCACATTTACCAAATAGTTCAAGATGGTATTGAAAGTATCTATTTTCCAAAAAACACTGCGTCAGGCATTCTGTTATGCGTTTTCTTTCATCCTTCACCCAACCGTCCTTCCTCATACCCATCTTCTTCCCTTCCCCACCCCTTCCTCTCTCACCCTGTTCCCTGGGGCGATTGTGTTGAGTGTCATAAGTCAGAAAGTAAAGCAGAGATATTGGATGGTTTCACTCATGTGTGGACTGTAAATATAATAAAACCTTTCATATGCAAAGAGTAGTAGGAATAAATCTTGAACTCAGCAAAAAGACATAAAAATTCTTAAGGTGGCTTAAGGAACAATGAAAGTTTTTAAATCCGGCTTTGGGATATCCAAGCTAACACATTCTTTAAATAAAATTGAGAAGTTTAGGTTTGATTAAAAAAAAATCACTTTGCCAATATTTATAATTAAAATATATTTAGGCAGTTGTGAGCAAGAGAGCAAATATTTTACATGTAATATAACACAAATATTTTACTGTATAAGCTCAATCTCAGAGGTTTCCCTGGGATTGTGTTATAATTGAAGATAACACTGAAAAACATTTAAAATGATAGCATTCAAAATGCAATTACTATTTTATCATCAGTGCATTATAAATTAATCTTCAGAATAGGTAATGCTGGGTGATTCAATGTATTGAGTAAAAATGCCAAGTTAACCAGGGTTAACCATTTATATATTTGTGATTATTTGAAAATACTTCCCAGACAACGCAAGCATTTTTGAATGAACACTTAGCTCCCTGGAATGTTGATGTATAAAACCACACATTCTTGAAAACCCATTATTGTCATTGAAAACAATGACTGTTTTTCTCTCCCAGCTACCAGTAATTGTACACATTTCCTTTAAAAGTACAAAACTGGTATTTCACTGTATTCTTGGAATTGTTACCTTAACACATCCTTGTCACACTAATAATCTGTGCCTCAGATGATCTAACATGACTGCATAGAAACAAGTGATGTTGCAGGCATCAGTCTAGGAAGAATGAATTTCCCACAATTGAGAAATATTGCTAAATGCTTATGTTCCTCAAAAAATATTTTTTAATTTGTTTATAAAAAATACACATGTGTAGCTGTGTGCCTCCATACTCATTTAGTTTATTCCAACACTCTCTTTCTTTAAAAATAAGGGCTTTCAACTATATGGAACTACAGAATCAAACATATTTCTCTGAGCTCTTCCTCCTGGGACTCTCAGAAGATCTGGAACTACAGCCCCTCATCTTTGGGCTGTTCCTCTTCATGTACCTCGTCACCGTGTGTGGAAACCTGCTTATCATCCTAGCAGTTGTCACTGACCCTCACCTGCACACCCCCATGTACTTCTTCCTCTCCCACCTGTCCTTGGCTGACATCGGCTTCAGCACCACCACCGTCCCCAAGATGCTGGCTAACATCCAGACCAATAGCAAATCCATCTCCTACGTGGGCTGCCTGACTCAGGTGTCTTTTTTCTTCCTTTTTGGGTGTCTGGACAGTCTCCTCCTGGCCGTGATGGCCTATGACCGGCTGGTGGCCATCTGCCACCCCCTGCACTACCGGGTCATCATGAACCCCCGCCTCTGTGGCTTGTTGGTCTTGGTGTCATTTTTGATCAGCCTTCTGGACTCCCAGATTCATTGTTGGATGGTGTCACAACTTAACTTCTGCACAAATGTGGAAATCCCTCATTTCTTTTGTGATGTTCCTCAACTTTTCAACCTCGCCTGTTCTGATACTTCCACCAACAACATTGTCATTTTCCTTGTTGGGACGATCTCTGGCTTTATTCCTATTGCAGGAATCATTTTTTCTTACTCTAAGATTGTTTCCTCCATTCTGAGGGTCTCATCCTCAGGTGGGAAGTACAAAGCCTTCTCCACCTGCGGCTCTCACCTGTCCGTTGTTTGCTTATTTTATGGAACAGGCCTTGGGGTGTACCTCAGTTCAGCTGTCTCATCTTCCCCGAGGAAGGACGCAGTGGTCTCTGTGATGTACACTGTGGTCACCCCCATGCTGAACCCCTTTATCTACAGTCTGAGGAACAAAGACATCAAGAGCGCCCTGGGGAAGGTTGTCAGCAGAATGACCTGACATCACTAGCTGTGCCGTCTTTCTGGATTAGCCACTGAGAAGGGCAGTGACAGAAAACATTGGAAACAAAATTCCCGAACCTGCAGTCACCTGGTATAACCCACAGGACTCTGATGTTTGTGTACATATTTATTTATCTTAACATAGTTCTAACACAATTCTTCATTCTGGACTCCCCATTATGACAAAGTCACATAGTATGTTTTCTCATTATTTTCGTCCACTACCCACCTATCTTAATAATGATCAGTCTTATTTATATAATTAGAAATAACAATACCTTTCCCTTTCTTACTAATCATTGTTTCCATATTGTTCATAGTATTTTAAAAATATTTACGAGAAAGTTATAAACACTATCTTTAGCAACACTCAATCTACTAATTTCTTGTCTTTCAATAACCATGAGTAGATTCAGAGCAGGTAGGGTTACTATTTAATCTTTTGGTCGAAATGCTTTTTTAAAATTTTAAAAAGGGGTGTTATTATGCTTGGTTTGAATAAAGTTATTAAATGTGACTTTCCTACAAAAATATCTACGTAGATGGGGGGAAAGACCAGTGTGACTCTGGAGCTGTGATCCTCAGGAACACTGAAGACAGGCACCAGAGGGACAAGCACGTCTGATACAGCGCTGGGAAAAGAGAACCAGCACAGCAGCAAGAATGAAAGCCAGAGACGACTGGAAAGGAAAGGAGAAACTGAGAGCAGAGAGACCGCAGTGGGGACAGTTCACTGGAAGGGCTCTCAGCTCTGTGCCCAGCAATCCCCCAGGATTCCCCTCCAACCTGAAAGGAGAGAGCATAATTCTCTGTGACAGTGCACCTGGGCCACTGTACAACAAGGGGCACCCAGGGGATCAGAGACAGCGTTCGGCAGGGGAGAGAGGCATAGTTCTTTTTTTTCCATAAATAGTTTCTTTTCCTGGATCCTTTTTCCTTCCCTAATATTGTCTTGAACGGGCTCCATCCTCTGTGATAGTCTTGGTCAACACAAAAAGCAGAGGCAAAGTTCAAATGCAAGCATTTTATTGAAAGGAGAAAGAAACACAAATGGGAAAGAGGAAAGAAGGACCTTAAGGAAAGCTTTTATGTGGGATACAGTAGACAATCAGCCAGGTTTTGTCCTCTTGGGAGATCTGGCAAATGATAAGAATGGAAACCTCAGCATCATCCCATATTAGGGACTGAAGAATTGGTCCACCCCAAATCTCTTTCCAAAGTCTGTCTCTGAGGGGATGTACTTCCTGTCACTCCTGCCGCCATGTGTCAGGTAAACGAAGTTCCAGCTGGTGCTAAACATGGGCCCTTATGTAACAAGTGAGAGAAGAGCTTGGGAATTGTAGATGTGCTGGCATTTATTACTCCAAACAGTTACGACTGCAGACTTCACTGCACACTCAATCCTATCAACAGTCTTCTCAAAAACTGAACTAATTGATGAACAATTGCTGCAAATGTGTATGTGCCCCTTCTGCGGGTATCTTCGGAGAACCATAGAAATGAAAAAAACAACTGAAAGACTCGTTATTGCTTTATTCTGTTGCATGTTATCAGAGCTTTGTTGTTGTACTGTACAAATGCAATAAGAAATAACACTTAAAAAACATGTGGGGTGGGGAAGGAGGAAAAAAGGAAAGTGGAGAGAGCTAAGCAATTCTCAAGGGTTCTCCCCGTTGGGAGAGACTATAAAACATATGAACAAACCATCTCTCAAACCTACATTCCTACTTTGAGATTGAAATCAGACCAGTCTCCTCCTGGAATGGCGCACAAAGAGAGGATGAAGGCTCAGTTTCAGATGCCAGGTTCTGGTCAAGCTAGTCCCAGTCTCTTCTGAAAAGGCTAGTGTGAAAGAGAAAACATACCAAGAAACATTTACCAAAAGCAATTATCTTCAGTTAATGCAACACCCATGTCTGCAGGCAGCAGCCCGGGGGAGTCCTTACTAAAAGAGGAACTCAAGCACAATTTCATTACACAGCAGGAAAGGTGATGCTAACGCTGAGCCAGCAGGTCGGATTGTGAGAAAACACTAAAATAGTCGCATTCCATTCATGAATAGCCCAAGGTGGTCCGCTGCCATTGGAATTTTCAAGAACGCTTAAACATTGCTATGATTTTGGGATGATATTTGTATTATTTGCATTTGCTTTCTTCATGGAAAAAATGTACAACCAAGGTAGGGGCAACAATTCAACAAATGAGGACAGTTATTAAGGATAGCATATCAGCACTCTGTACCCGTGCTAAACCTAAGGTTGGAATCCTTTTTTTCATATATTTTATTTTAGGGCCTCCCCTAGTGGCACAGCGGTTGAGCACTGGGCTGCGAGGCTGCCCTCAGCCTCTGCAGCGTAGGTTCGTTCCCCGGCCACCAGCGAGGGTCCCACAAAAAATATATATTTTTTTATTTAATATAATTCTTACATCATATTTCATTTTTGCACAATGTATGCATTTTCATTTTGGTTATATTCCCCATACAATTGCACCCCCCTTATTTTGACCCACCTCCCTCCTCTTCTCCCCACCGCCATAGTGTGTCTCTGGTTTATAGTTGCTTGTTGATTTTGATTTTTACTTTATTATAATTAGTCTTTTTCCTGGTCCCTTATTTAGGTTTTCTAAATTCCTGCTATGTGTGAAACCATCCAGTTTCTGGCTTATTTCTTTCTGGCTTATATCGCTGAGCATGATCCCTTCCAGCTCCATCCATGTTGCTGCAAATTGCATGAGTATCTTTTTGATTGCTGAGTAATATTCCATTGTGTATATATACCATATCTTCTTGATCCAGTCATTTATTTCTGGGCATTTGGATTGTTTCTTTTTTAAAAAGATTTATTTATTTATGCATACAAGAACTAGGGTACAGGCCAGAGGTGTGGGAATGAGAGGATTCCCCAGAGACAGAGTGGGGAGCAGTCAGGCAGATCTACTGAAATACACTGCTGAGGGGAGCAGCGGGCAGACAGGAGAAATCTGCTGTGCCATGTGGGTCAGCTCCCTGGCTGGGGATTTAACTCATGCTGCAGTGGCTGCAGATAGCTTCATAGCACTGTGACTTAACCCCTTCTGCCACCAGGGAGGCCCCAAAGTTGGAAATATTAATTGTGTAGGAGTGTACCAAAAATAGAACTTGCCAGCTGTAAAAAGATAAAACAAAAAACACTGAGTGAGTCACAGGAGTAACTAATAGAAATGGAAATGCATATATATAATTATGTTATCAAAATGCAATAAATTAAAATATTTAAGAGGTATCAGTATACTGAAACTGCAGCAACTACCTTCTGGACCCAAATGTTCACAAACTACTGAGCCCAGAGACCCACAGTGGACAAGAGACTCCTCTGTTGACCAGCTTTCTGAGGGCCCCCTTCACATCCTTGTTCCTCATGCTGTAGATGAAGGGGTTCAGCATGGGGGTGACCACCGTGTACATCACTGAAGCAACTGAGCTTTTCTCTGAAGAACGGGTCACAGCAGAGCTGAGGTAGACCCCCAGGCCTGTCCCGTAGAACAGGGAGACCACACAGAGGTGAGACCCGCAGGTGGAGAAGGCTTTATACTTGCTGGTAGAGGACGACATCTTCATTAAGGAGGAGATGATTTGAGAGTAAGAGTAGAGGATTCCACTAATAGGAAACAAACCCAACAGGGCAGAAGTCACATACAAGTAGATGTTAATGATGAGGGTGTCGGAGCAGGTTACTTTCAGAATCTTAGTCAACTCACAGAAGAAATGTGGGATTTCAGTGACTGTAGAGAATTTCATCTGCATAATCAGAAGAACATGAACCAGGGCAACCCAGAAAATGATGCACCAGCACATCAAAACCAGAAGGACACAGGCGCGGGGGTTCATGATGACCATGTAGTGCAGGGGGTGACAGATGGCCACAAACCGGTCATAGGCCATCAGGGTCAGGAGGAAATGGTCCAGTCCAATAAAAACCATTACAAAATACACCTGAGTGAGGCATCCTGTGTAGGAGATGCCTTTGCTCTGTGCCTCAACGTTCACCAGCATCTTGGGGACAGTCGTGGAGATGACACAGATGTCAACAAAGGACAAGTTGGAAAGAAAAAAGTACATGGGGGTGTGCAGGTGGGGGTCAGAGCTGACGGCCAGGATGATGAGCAGGTTCCCAAGCACAGTGACCAGGTACATGGATAGGAACAGCCCAAAGAGGAGGGGCTGCAGGGCAGGGTCGTCTGAGAGGCCCCGGAGGAGGAACTGAGATGCTCCTGAATGATTTCCTGTTCCCATGTAGTTGGGATATCTGCTGTGAGAGAAGGAGCAGAGTTTGATGATCAACCAGCGGAAACTAAACCAAATGTTCTAGGAATGGAGATCTGATTTCGCTCTATAATGAATGTTAACACAATTATTCACTAATATACGTCAATGAGGAAGCATCAGTGACAACCCAAGTAATTAATTTCAGTTAATGCAACACCCATTTCTGGAGTTAGCAGCCTGATTGGTTCATAAGCATCATGGCAGATCCTGTGTGTGTGGACACCCGCACCCCACTCTGCTCTGTGGCGGGAACAGCACCAGATGCTACTCCTGGTGGATCAGGCAGTGATTCTGGCCCAACCAGGCCCAACAGTTTCTCCCCTGGGAAAGTGGAAATGACACTGAGATTGTGGATAATGATCTGAGGAGTAAACCTTGATTGGAAGCATCAGTCACGGGTCCGGATGAGGAAACACCTTCCCTAGGATTGTGAAGTAGCCCCTAAGCCAGTGACTAACCATCAAGCCAGGTGAGGCAATAAGGACCCTGGTCAAAGGATGGACATAGAGTCTGACTACTTGGCCTCAAGTCCTAGGTCTACATCCCCTTGGTCTTGAACAATATAACCTATGAATGCCTTGGTTTCTTGGTTGTGAAATAAGGTTATTAATTGCACTACTGTGTGACACTTCTGAGAATGTTTTAAAGAACAAGTGTGCACATTAAAGGGCGCCAGCTTTCAAGTAAAACAAAATAAATTGTGTCAACCTACTGCATGTGTGGGGATCACAGCTAACACCACTGTACCATACACTTCAGAGGTGCTAGGAAACCAGATCTCAAATATTGTCACTATAAGAGAATTGACCACTCTGAACTGGAGTGGTTTTAGCTAATGCTAGAGTAGGAATTGCTGTAATATATAAATTTAAAAATTTATATCAATAAATATAAAATTCATTAGCTTCTACAGTGTTAATCCTCAACTTTATAGCCATTTGAAAATGATTATAATATTATGACTCAGTGAATATTATAAGCTGGGGAATGTAGTCTGCAAAGATCGAGAGAGTGAGGTGGACACTTAAACTTGGGTATCAGTGAGTGCTTGGTGTGTTTCCGTGTAGAACAGAGAAACTCAGAGAGATGATGATGATGGATTTGAGGTTTTTAAACGTGGGGATCAGCACTGAAGTCTGCTGGTCTAAGTTATTGTGGTTATCATTTCCCAACAGATTAAGTCAAATCCTTTGCTACTAGTCTTCATCTTAGGTCACGCTGACGTTAGTGACAGCTGCACAGACGGAAAGAAAGGATCGTGCGCTAAATGGTGCAGACTTGCAGTAGAACAAAGACGTCTTCTGGTCACCAATTCCCTTTGCTTTGCTTTATATTCTTCTAAATTTTTCTTATAATCTTACCCTTTCTATAGGGATGACATTACTGATTTCTACAACTTGTATGCAAGAGATGTTGACCAAATACTGTTCTCTATAGAGAAGCAAACAAATGGTCAGATAAAGTCAAACCAGTAATGAACCCCACAATTCTGACTGTAGAACTGAGGCTACCACGGGGGAGGAGAAGGGAATAGGGAGGGAGCACCATGGGCTGTGGTCACAGGCTATGGAGGCTTTGGGGCTGGGTGTGGTGTGGTGACAACACCTGAAGGGGAGAGCCTATAATCATAAAGGATACCGTAAACATATTTTGCATCAATAAAAATGTGGGTTTTCACAAACATCATCTTCAATCAGTTGACATTGTAACCCTCGAGGTAGTTATTTTATTCTTTCAGAGTGGCGGGAAGACAGTATTTTGTCTCATCCAGATCATGGAACTAAATTTGTTGTTGTTTTTTATAATATATATAATTTACCTCATTTTTCCTTTTTGTACAACATAAGCTTTCTCCTCTCAGGTGTAGTGCCCGCGACATTCCCATCACCAATTCACTCATGCACATCACCATAGTCCTTGTGTGAGAACACATTCCCACCCCTGTTCTGATCTAATGGACCTAAATTTGAACCCACCCCTTCTTAGCTTTGTGACTGTGGGCACATGCCCCTCTCTGAGGCATCAGTATGGGTGATGCTAAAGACACAGCCACATGAATGTAAAGAACCTGAAACTATTAACTCCTTGGCCCACTTTTTTCTTCTTTAAGAAGAACCTGACAAAATCCTGTGTGTTCAGAACAAGACTGTTGAATACCAACATCACCCCACCCCGGGGAGGGTGGCTCATGTCAAAACGCTGTTGCCATGTTTGTAAATTCTGTGAGCACGACTTACCACACTGTCATCATCACATGCTTTGTACCAAGGTCTCCAATTAGACCGTGAGATCTCTCATTAAGGAGGATAATAAGAATTAGAAACATCTGCAAGTTAAGTGGTATGCACGAAGAATGGGGAATGAGGTCAACTGCATGATTGAAAATAGAACTAATACCAACTTTTAGGGGTGAATTTAATATGAATATAATATGCAGGGGTGATTATAAATAAGCACACCTGAAAGTTAGATACAGTGTTACTTCCATAAAAAAACTTAAAAGTTACAAAGACACAAACCTAAACTTTTTAATAATTTCAATGAGCTCCTTGTCCCCAGCACCGTGTCCTTGTTCCTGGGCCACTGCTGGCAGAATCCCGTCACACGCACGGGGACACACGCTCCTCTGCCAAACACTTACCAAGTCCAAATGCAGCTCCAGACCGCAGCAGGGAGAAGGAGCTGCCGGCGCTTGGGGGGTAGGATGATAGAGGGTGGGGGGGGTCCCAGAAAAGGCACAGAAATGACTCGTTATGGAGGGAAATAGACCAGGCTCAGTAACATTATTTTTCTGGTCTTAGGTCAGTCAGCTTGGGGCGGAGGGCTGGGACAGGAGCATTTATCTTTCCAGGGACATGCAGTTTGAATTCTCAAAGCTCCCAATTATAAAAGCATCCTATTGTTACCTCCTATTGTTACTCTAGTTTTGAACATTTAGCCCTTAGGGAGATAGAGCGAGAATCATAACAGAGAGAAGACTGTGCTCTCTGTCCCCATGCAGGGAATAGAGGCCTGTTTTCTTTACACTGGGAATTCCTCTCCTAGGTATGCTCTTACTGTGAGAATCTTTACAGAATTTCCCCCTAGAGTGTGAGCTACCTAGTGCTTGTGAATCAAAATATTTTGATAACAATCTGTCAGGGCCTCTGAGTCTCTACAGCATCCTAAGCAGACCTGTCCTGTCAGAAGTGACGGTGACCACAGAACATGTCGCATTGCTAAGAAATATGTGAGCACCACAGCCTGGGTCATGTTAGCTCACTGCTGTGCACAGACACTCCTCACATGATCTTATTTCCAATTTTAAAATGAGTAACTTAGTAAACAGAAACAGAAATTTACTAAGAGCATGTGTTCTAAATAGCAGTTTGAATTGGACCAGGGCTGAATCAGACCACAACGAAAAACATATCACAAGTTGAAAGTAAAAAGGGATCATTTATAAGCCACAGGGAATGGAGGAAGGTTTTTTGAGAAATAGTCTCTACTTCCTCCTGAAGAAAAGTAAATCATAAGAGGAGTAAATTCAAAATTTATAAATACATATTTGAATTTTTGGTGAAATCTGTAAAATGTTTTTATTTCAAATAAAGGCAATGATTATAATTATGGTGATAAAATTACAGGTGCTATTTTTAACTTTGCGTCAAATTATGTGACAACTTAGACCTTATATGTAAAAGATAAACCACAAAGGCAAAAAAGACATTGAAATGTATATGCCAAAGAATAATTGTATAAAATAAAATGAGCAAAGCTGACACTCTGAAATTATAAGTAAGATAAGTAAACATCAGAACCTCATTTAGAATTTGGAGATATTACCATGATGGAATCTTAGGGAGAGAAACACACACAGTCAATGACACAAGAAGCCTGGGCTGGAAGATGACACAGCAGGGCTTGCTGCTGCTTCCCAAGGCAAGAGAGAGGCTTCTGTGACTCAAAAGGACATAAAAATCTCTCTAAAGCTGTTGTGCTTTCATTTAAAGGATTTATAACGTAGACACACTCTACCTACCACACTGCCTGTGCAGTGAGTTTATTAAAGAGAAAAGTGAACGGAGGAAAATACTTCTGGATGTTCATATAGTTTTTTTTATGGCAAGTTGGAGTGCGCATACTTGCTGTATTACTCTGTTTTTTTCATATTAAAATATCTCAAAATAATTAAAGGGAAAAAAATCTACTCAAGATAAGAAATGTTGTCATTGTACACAATAGTAAAATCTACTCTTTATGTATTTACTTAATTTCCTTATGGAGGTAACATCGGGTTGCATTACTGCTGGTGTCTCAGAGGTTAGACTCCCCTTCAGGTCAGCACAGTCTTGCACCCAGCACCAAACCACCCAGAGTCCACTGCACAGTCATGTGCTCCCTTCATTCTGTCCTCACCCCCCCCACCGCCAGATGTTTCCCCTCTATAGTCAGCTTTTTTGTGTAATTATGATTATTTTTTTTATTTTTTACATCATTGTTCATTTTTTTAATTTTATTTTATATATTTTTACATCATTGTTCATTTTTGCACAATGTATGCATTTAGAGTTAATATTGATATGTTGGCATCTGTAATTGCCATTTTGTTTGTCTTTTTTGTGATTTTATCCCTCGCTTTAGTCTTCTTCTTGATCATTCCTCTGTTGGTTTTGGCTTTAGGACTTGTAAAATTTTTTGGAGTGGGGGTTTAGTTGTGATGAATTTCTGGAGTCTCTGTCTGAGAAGGTCCATATTTTTTCTTCATAGAGGAAGGAGAGCTTTGCAGGGTAAAGTTCTTGGCTGGCATATGCTCTCTTGAAGTTTGTTGAATATGTTACTCCATTCTCTTCTTGCCCGTAGTATTTCTTTGGACAAGTCTGAGGTTAACGTGATTGATTTTCCCTTACAAGTTATCTGTTTCTTCCCCTTTGCCAGTTTCATTATTTTTTCTTTTCTTGGACTCTTGCAAGCTTTACTATTATGTGTCT